TGGTAGTAGTCGTGGTAGTAGTCGTAGTAGTGGTCGTCGTCGTCGTCGTAGTAGTAGTAGTAGTGGTAGTAGTGGTAGTAGTGGTGGCAGTAGCAGTTGCAGTTCCAGTAGGAGAAGGAGAAGCAGCAGCAGTAGTAGCAGTAGCAGCAGCAGCAGTGGCAGCAGTGGCAGCAGCAACAGCAGCTGGATGAGCAGTCCAGGAAAAGTTACTAGTACTGGCTGTGGTGGTGGTTCATGCCTTGTGTTTGACAAGTTGTTGATTCCTTGGCATATTGCCGCGACTCCTGCCGCTGCCGCTGCTGCGGCTGCAGCTGCTGCTGCTGCTTCTGCTGTTGGGGCTGGTTGGTGTTATACTTCTTCTTCATGCGTTGGGTTTAGCATGAGGAAGAAGCCTTATTGGAGCGCATGGTGATCAAGCTTGCCATTGATGGAGTCAAGAACTCCGGTGGCTTTGCGTGAATGTCGGCTCTCTCCGTGATTACATGTCCATCAGGGCACGTCGTCAGCTAAGAAATCTATGCATAGTGGGGTTCTTCAGTGCGACTGGGTTCAGGGTTCCCGCAGCCGAGGTAAGCGTTTCAAGCGCTTCAAGAAATGGCTAGAAGAACAACCGCCTTTCGACATTGTGATTGATGGAGCCAATGTGCCTGCGCCAAGTTCAGTGCTGATAGATAGCAGATAGGTCCAAGTTAGCTTGCTTAACACTGGATGGTAGCTTTGCAAGATGGGAGATGCCAGGTTGGCTTCAATAACCAGAACAGAGAAGGAGGCTTGTTGCTAGGCCTGACTTAAGTACAGCCCTGACTTTCAGGGCGGGCCGCCCATGCCTGCTCCCTCCTGACCTCAAGGTTTCAGTACAGCCAGATCGACGCTGTTATCAAGAAGCTGCGCGAAACTGGCAGCAGGGTGCTCCTGGTGCTACATCCCAAGTGGTTGCGTGCAGACGCGGATCGGACGGTAACCAAACGAAAAAAGAGAAAGCTCGAGCCCTGGCCAAACTGTTCAATTGTGCGAAACTTTCGAGCATGCATGAACTAGCGGAAGCTAGCGCTCCATTGCGAAACTTCAGCCGCAAAAGCGAGGCATTCTCCCAACCTGAGGATCAGATCAACCTGGAGTCAGGACTCGGTTCTTCTGACGAGTCGGCGGAGGAGCACGAGGACGAAAGCGGCAAGCTGCTTTCTGCAGCTTGATGCTGTTCATGAGTCAGATAGTGGCCAAAGGTGCAGATGTGAAATGTTCCTGGCAAGGACGGAGAGCCAGAGATCCAATATCCCTTTGAAGCTCGACTGCAGCCACCCGAGCTCTCCTGTGTGCGCTTGTCTGGATTCACTCCTTAATTGATGAAGGACCCCATAACTGATGCAGAGAGGGCTGCACCCTCTGGCACACCGCTTGCCTTCATTCGCCAGTGGAAGGCTTGATGTTGCACCCAATATTCTGGACTCGCCATAAGTCGGCAGCGTCAGCATGGATGCGCGTGGATGCGGATGTTGTAGGAGTCAGATTGCCTTGTCCGTGTACCCGCCAAAGACTGTGCGAGCCTCGGTGTCCAAACATGTCCAAACCTGTGGTAGCCCAGCAGAGTACGCAAGGGTCAGTCGCGACACATCTCGGCAGCAAGGTGACGATTGGTACTGGCTATTTGCTGCGCTGTCTTCCGCGCGCCGAGGTGCTAGGCATGTACAGGTGGCGTCTTGGCAGACTGTAGTCGAGAGCTTCCGAAGCCCAGCCCCTGCCTTGCCAGACCTGTCACAGGCACGTCATGCCGCCTGAAGACCAGTGAACAAGTCCCCGAGCCAGCAAAGGTTAGCAATGACCACATGCGAGACCATCACTGGCGGATGGTCGGCAACTGCCTCGCATTTAACACTGCCGCTTGCAGTCTGTCCAGCTGCCTGTCGCCATGGGCAAACATGTCAGGCAACCGCGCGTTCCTGAAGTGGCAGGGAAGACACATGACCAGAGTGAGCATTTGGTCCGAGACTTCAGATGCGGAGAAGCTTGGAAGCAGTCGCATAGGTAGCCTCGGCTGTTGAAAGCTCTCGCAAATTACAATGCGGAGCGGCAATGCCTCCGAATAAGGAACTGCAAAGTTACACTGACGCCTCCGGACCTCTACTCCATGCAAGCACAGGTGTGCCCGGCCCCGTGCTGCTAGTGTTGCTTGTCTTTTGCAGCTGGCCTGAATGCTTGCTGAAGAGGTGCAGTATGGTGGAGTGTCAATTCATGAATTTGTTCATAAATTCGTTAATGAATTAATTAAGTGAATACAAATTTCCAGAAGTGCTCGGGGCTCGACGTGTCGGTGAACAAAACCTGAGACCAACCACAGGTCCGAAGCAAACTCATGACCCAGGACCTAGAGTTTAAGTTGCATCCACATGACCAGCACGAGCACCATTCGATTCCTTGTGGGTCTCAATCTGACAACTCGTGATCCACCATCTCTCGGAAACCGATGCCGGCAGAAAGCCGGGGCCCGTCTCTCTCCCTCTCTCTCGCTTGGGTCCGTCATGGCATCGACTGCACCCCAGTTGTAGACGTTCTCGAGCTTGGCGTGCTCAAGTCCGGTTTCCGATTCGACGCTACACGGACCGAATCACTGCTTTTGGAGGCCTCCTGCGACGGCAGCCATTGGCATTTTCCAGTGCCTACTCTGCCGAGCCGGGCGCAGCAGCTTTCCTCTGGGCGTCCTCTGCCACGGAAGGAGCGTCAAGCATGAAACCAACAAGCGGCTAGTTTCAAGATGTTTCAAGAGCCACCCCTGGCATCATTGCTTTAGGAGATCGAGTCCGCCGAATGCCACTGGCTTGTCGCATGGCGCCAATAGTCAGGCTGGAACGGGCCGAGGTTCATTGCAGTCGTTGCAGGAGCTGTGTGCTGCATTCGTCGCAGGAATTTCGCGCCAGAGTCTGACTGCTACGTGACTTGATGGGAAGGTCAGGCAATAGAAGCCGCTTCCACAGTACGGCCTGTAGGGCTTGCATTTGTACAGACTGGCCTGCCGTCAAGGAGACCGTGGCCGATGTCTGGGTTTCAGACGCCCTTCCTTTTTGTGTGCTAACCTGGCAATTCCCGACAGGCAGCATTCTGACCGGGGAGTCTGCATGTTCAAGTCGGCGAAGGGGTCTGAAGCGCAGGGGCAAAGAGGCTCCAGTTTCTTAGTAGGGTGTTGGTCGGTGGCATGCAGGCTAGGCCGCTCAGGCAACCCTGGGTGACATTATGTTGGTGATGCTCGCGGGATGAATACATTGACATCAGGTCGGCTCTCTTGAGAGTGTAAATGTGCCACCCCTGCGGGCAGCAAACCTGCCAGAGGCAAGTGTAGCCCGAAAGAGCAACATGCTTCTCTAGCTGCTGTGCCTGAAGGCGGGTTAAATGTCGTTCGTTGCTTCAACCTGTTGTCTCGTATCTGCATGCTTGACATGAAATGGACGTGTCCATGTTGCAGTGAGCAGACTGAGCATGCCTGCTGCCTTTGTCTTCGAGGGCCCAACGGCGCTTCGCGTTTTGCACCGCGTGCGAGTTCTGGGATTGGGTTTGGGCTCGGAGCAGCCATGGTGTGCTGGTCGCCGGTCTGATGTGGTCCGGGCGGCTTTCCTGTGGCCTCGTTGCCTTGGTCGTGCAAGTGTTCCTAGAAATGCACATGGCACTTTCGCACGTCGGGCCTCATGGGAGTCACTAGGACACTAGGAACCTGCTACACTCTTATTTGTCTGCCCTTGGGTCCTTGAGGCTTCTCTTCCTCCTGTTGCCCGGCAGCATCAAGTACCGACGTCGGTTCGTCGGTCATGTACGGCTCATGGTGCACAGGTTCTTGAGGTCGATTTTGCTCCTAGGATTACTAGGAGCCCTTCTCCAGGAATCCGGCGTTCGCCATGAGATTTTTCAAGAACCGGAACTCGAGCAACACCGTGTTACGCCTGATCATGACTTGTAGCCTCATCCTGCTCCTGCAGGTTTGATAGTCGGGTTTTTCTTTTGAAGTGGTGGAGGCTGCAGGTTTTGGCTTCGAGATGGGTTTGGTCGTGGTTGCTTGTTCCGGAGTTCGGGGTGAGAGCGTGGACTTCGGGCTTCAGCGTCTGGGCCCTTGTATTGTTTGGCAAGTTGGCGCGCGGCTCAGCTTTCCCACAACGCTTCGAAGAAGAATCCCTTCTGGGTCAGTCGTACAGACCTTGGAGCATCGGAGGGGCGCCGGCTGTGGACTCGGGTTCCTTGTAAAAGGGGAGCCAGTGAGATTCAGGAACTTCACAGCAAGTCATCTCTCTTCCACTCAGCTCTGGGTGGTGTCGTGGGTCATAGAGTCATAGGCCGAGTTTCTGCGCTCAAGGTATGTTCGTCGACCAGAGGCCGCTCCAGCGGTGTTGGTGGAAGGGCCTTTCACGCTTCGAAGAGGACAGGAAAAGCCATTGATCAGTCGCGGGTCTGCGAGCTGTGTGTTGCTTCTTGTGCTCATTTTTGCTTTTACACACCCGCCTAAGGCTTCGGCAGTGGACGTTACGACCGTTACGAGTCACGTCGCGCTTGCCTCGCCCGTTTTGGATGCGAGTTGCATGCTCGCACTTGCAAGTACTTGGTGCTTGTGCAGCCGAGGTACCGGCCATTCGGCTCTGCGTGTCGAAAAGCGGCCCATTAAGCCGGAGACTGTCAAACCTTCATCAACTCAACCAACTCCATCGCAGAAGGTACCTTGCTTCCTGGCTGCATGGAAGGTTCTGCCAAGCTCATTTTCCATCATTCAGCTGTTTGCAAAGGCTGGTATGAAGAGGACATCTTCACCCTCCCCATGTAAGGCACATGCACGCAAGAAGCAGGCCACAAGTGCATCGCAAACTATGTGCGAGGAGAAGACGCGGCGGACTGGACTAAGCTGGTCGTGGGGCAATTCGGCCGGTTTTGTAAAGGTTGTGGGCATGCCACATCTGAGTCGTGAAGTTTGGTTTCAGATCAGATGTTCGTTGCTGTTCATCTTTTACGAGGCTGCACTCGTAGTGCTTCGTGCAACATCACGCCGTCCGCATCTGTTAGGCCCACCACTGAAGCTGCGAATGCGCATGGCAGGACGGTCGTGGCAATACGCTTTGCTTCGTTTGTTGCTCTCTGCACTGATCGATTACTTTGCCCCAGGATTCGGAACAATTGGAATAGAATTTGTGAATACTGGGCGTGTGGATGGTCCAAAAGGATCCGTCCATCTAGCGCTCGATGGGTTTCGTGGTTGCATCGAGCTGCATGTTGCTGCTTGTCAGGGATGCTGCACCGTGTTGCCCTGCGTCCCGGGGGCAGTTCAGCGAGGCACCGTTTGCCTTCCATACCCATGAACCAGACTTGCCACTTGCTCCTGGCATTTCGCCGCTGGCATGCAACAATATGTGCCGCAGTAGTACTTGCAGTTTCTCAAGTCGCCGGGACGCTGTTTTCTTGAATTTTGCGGACAACTGCAGCCCATCAGAGTGTAGGTGTGCGACTGCATCTTGGCCTAGGTGATGCAGAGGAGCGGAAAATGCCGGGATGTGAATTGCGTGACATGCCGGAAAAATCTCCGACTTGCGAAGTCTGTATGGAGCCGGCTGCCGCAGGACTTGGAGGTTGAAGCGCCAAGCCCTGATGTCTTCAACTTCGGCAGAGACCTGAAGGCGAGGAGATGCCAGGAGTGCCAGAGGCTAAAGCTCAAGAACGATTTGTCCTGAGGGGATGCTGGCACATGGCATATGAACTTAGCCTCTCGCTTGAAAGGTGTTTGCTCACCACTGCCCGCGACGTTTATCGGGGCCAAGCGCTGAAGCTTTGGGTGCCGGGAAAGCAGCAACTTGTAGGGTCCGACAGCGGCTTGGACTTATCGTGATTTCTTGGCTCCTGCATAGCGCCGACTGTAGCCCTCGCGTTGGAGCGGTCCTAGGCAGGTCTGGATTGGATGGTGCGGATGCTACGGTTCCTCCTCAAAGCTCGCTCCGAGCTTCGAGGGCCACGACTGGCGAGCAGGGAGGATCGACAAGGCCTTGATGCAGTCACGAGATTGCCGTTTTCGACGGACTACGCTGGCTGGAGGTGATCAATGCTTCACATGCTGTGGTGAGTTTATCGACGGATGAGAGGTTAGCAACTCATCAAGCCACGCTTGCTGTACTGCTGTTTGCCGAACTGCTTGGAAAGCTGCTGCAAATGTTTCTTGATGAATCATGTCGGAAAGTCTGCAACGGTCTCAAAGAAGCCGAGGTTTGTGCTTCCAGCCTGGCAGCTTTTGCCAGCCAGCGGCAGTGAGTTTGACGACTTGGACAGCTCAGTTCAGCGTTGTGCAAGTTTCGAACTTGGGACGGAAAAGAGACGCGGCCGCGAACCAACAGAATCGCAACACTCTCTGACTCGCGTTGTCTCTTCAGTGTTGATTGCCAACTGGGCAAATTTGGGCATCTGGTCTGGAGCTGTGGAACCTAGTTATGACAGCAAGTCGTTGAGCATCGACAAAGCTTCCGAGCATATGGCAGGTAGTTATTCAGGGTTCCCTTGTGCATCATCTTCTTCAGCATTACCAGCACCAGTAGTATCATCAGCGTTTCGCGGTTCGTTAGATGTCCATCGTCGTCGTCACCGTTGCCCGTATCATTATTGCCAGCACACCTCGCTCAACATCATAGGGGTAATGTGAAGCGAACTTCAGACGAATTCTTCCAAACAATTTAGCGATGTACCCAGATGGAAGTACACGAGGATTCGTTGTTCTCGGCTTTGTTGCCTTGGTCCGAAGCCATTTGTGGTTCCAAATCACAGAACACGGTTGGGCGAAAGCAGTGAAGCTGCTTGGCTGGAAGGCCACTAACTAGGCGAATCTGACTCTCTTTACCTTTACAGCTCTTTCCCGAGAGCTGTGAGTTTGAAGCATTTTCTATGAGGTGCAGCCTCGACGACAACATGGGTGCCGAAGATGCAAAAATGAATTTGGAGCCAAGCCGGGAGATTGACGATGGCCCTTCGAGCAATTTTCGTCTTGGCGTACCGAGGCTTCAACCGTGGAAACACTGTGTTGGCACTTGGACCAGAGAAGTGCCCCCCCAGCACGTGCCTGTGACAATCCTTCGTGTTGTGCTATAGCCGTTGCCGGTAGCTTCACAAGCCGGTGTGTGAGCAGAGACCTGGGTCGAGGTTTTCAATCTTCGATTCTGGACTGTTGAACATTTTTGGATCAGTTCGCCTGGTCCACTTCAAGCTGAGATTCGGGCGTTTCCAGCCCCGACAGTCTTCCATGTCAGCATGATTTCCGGCTACTGTAAATCAAATCCCCTCGCCTGCTTTGTCGAGAGTGCGTGCTAAAAAAATCAAATCCAGTGTGTGGCCAACGAAGAAGAAGACATGTTGAATAGACTTCCATTCGCCGGCGAAAAGAGCAGTGAACAAATTGAATGCATTTGCCTGCCACACAGCATTGGGCCACCGGCTGCCACCAGTGCTTCTGAACGTCTGTACGTACGTTTGGTCTGTGGCGTTTTGCCTGCTGTCCGCAGACATCCCAATGCAGGTACCGCTCCACAAAATCGCAGTTTTGGAAGGACACCGAGGACTCGAATGGCGAACTGCATTTACGTTGACTTCATGACGGGCAGCCGTTGATGCATCAGGAGCTGGAGCGCTTTCCTCCCAAGTATCAGGAACAGGAGGACGTTTTCGAGGACCCGCAGACAAGTCAGCAAAGTGAAGAGGGATTCCAATGTCACTTGAGCCAATGGTTTCGCGGCTTCTCTTAAAACCCGACCATTGCAGCCCATGCGTAACGAAAGGAGTATCTTCACAATGGCTCGCTTTCCCCATCGCGGCACCAGCTTGCACTGAAGAGCTCGTGTGCAGCTGAGTTCGTTATCGCATCCGACTTCTGCCCTCCCCTCCCTCACCTTCCCTTGTGGATTATCTGCTTTCTTGTCTTTAGCCTCGTCCACCCTGGAAGAGGACCGCTGCAGGCCAT